GGACTGGTAGGAAAAACCCTAGGCCTGGAGCTTGGGTTTATGTTGGGAGGGGTGGGGTTGGCATCAGCTAAAACTGAACTCTGGGCACTGTGACCCCACCCACCCAGGTAACAGGGACGGCTGACCCGGGGGCACAGGCCCAGGCCCAGCAGCGATTGGGTAAGAGCAGACCATCACCCCCTCCCCTGCTCCAGCCCTTCAGGGATGCCCAGCTCCCATTCATCTGCATCCCCAAAAGAGCTTTTCCTCCCGGAATCCAGGTGCCCCATCCTTGGGCCCTGGCGCCCGGTCCTCTCAGGGGGACCATGCATGGATGGCCACCCTGGCCCCCAGTCGTGGACTCTTCGCCCCTTCCAGGGACACAGGTGCTGCCAGAGGAAGAGGCAGGAACAGATTTCAGCTCCAGGCTCCCAGCTGCCCACCTCATAGGTAAGGATCTCATAGATAGTCAAGGGTGCCGTTCTGCCCACCCGAATCCCTTTGCTCCGTTATTGCGGGGCTGTGTTTCCGACCTGCTTCACCACCGCTTGTCCCTAACCCTTCTCCCCTATTCGCTTCTTGCTTCCCTCCTGGAGCAGGCAAAACCTGGCCTGGATCTCCCCACAACAGCGCCCCGTACCCCACCCACACTCTGGTGCTATTAGTCCCCTTAGTCATAATCATTGCAGGGGTGGCACCACGGCCTTCGCCCCCCACCACCCCCCACTCCCGGCTCGGGCGGGGGGTGGGAGGTTGAAAGTCCCTGCAGGGGGTTGAAAGTCCCCATTCTCCTTCATGCTCACCCTCCCAGAAGTCCCGGGCCTAGATCATTCCTCTGGGATGGGGTTCCCGAGAGCCGACAGGCCCGTTTCTCCGCAGGTGCTTGGACGAAGGGGCAGGGGCTAGGCTGGGAGGCCAAGAAAGAAGAGGCGTTTTTGAGGAGCGGGACGCAGTTCTCCGGCGCCGAGGGACTGGCGCTCCCACAGGACGGCCTCTATTACCTCTACTGTCACGTCGGCTACCGGGGTCGGGCGCCCCCTGCCGGCGGGGGCCTCCTTGACCACTCGGTCACGCTGCGCAGCCGGCTGTACCGGACGGGGGGCGCGTATGGACCGGGGACTCCCGAGCTGCTGCTGGAGGGCGCAGAGACCGTGACCCCGGTCTTGGACCCGTCCCGGACGCACGAGTACGGGCCTCTCTGGTACACGAGTGTGGGCTTCGGGGGCCTGGTACAGCTCCGGAGGGGCGAGAGGGTGTACGTCAATATCAGTCACCCCGATATGGTGGACTACAGGAGAGGGAAGACCTTCTTTGGGGCTGTGATGGTGGGGTGAGGGCCGCTTGCGGCCCCGGGGAAAGCGACTGCATGGCTGGAATGTGTGACCCAGCCCAGATATTGGGGACCCGGCCTCCAGGGACCCCGTGGCAGTGGGAAAAATGTAGGAGACTGTTTGAAAACTGATTTCGAGCCTGAAGAAAATAAAGAATGTAAACCTTTAGTGTTGCCAAATACAGATGCTGAGATGCTAGTATGTCTTAATTCAGGGTTGGTAAAGAAGTGTTGGTAAAACATTCTTTTTCTGGTTGCTTGAAACAATCAAATCAATTCCTATGGCCTCTACTGTCTGAGAAGGCCATCTGTGGCGTTCCCACCCACCTCCTGCCTCCGAATGCACTTGTCCCAACCTTAGCCCATTTGGAAGGTGGAAGAAGGGGATCTCAAACCGCAAAGCATCTCCAACCATCCTTATTCTCAGAGCCACATAGTCCTCAGCAGACTCCACACTGCATTTTCTCTTGGGTCCCTTCTATCAGTGACAGGGGTCATTACAGGGGAAGGCAAGCAATGCTCTGGAAGACGGAGCACAGAGCGAGGAATGATCCCTGAGGGCCTAGCACTTCTCCCCTGCTGCCTGCCTGGTTGCCCGAAGGCCCCTTTAGCCACTACCTTCAAGGAAAAACACAGCTCTGGGGGGTGAAGGGAGGAGACTGAAAGAGAGAGCTGGGGCGGGGAGGGGACCTGAGGACACCAGGGAGAACTCGAGGAGGAAACTCTCTTGGCCACCTGGCCCTGTCCAGGGTGAGATGGAAAGTCCTCACCCCTTGTTCGCACTTCAGCTGTGCTTTCCATGCACTGGCAAGTACTGGGGCCCCGGGGTGAGTAACAACAGCCCCATCACCCCATGACACACTTTCAGCTCCAGGCTGGAGGAGGCAGAGAGGGACCCAAGGCCCTATCTAGGTCACCCCAGTGGGTTATCCCACTGCGGCAGACCACACGGTTTCCCCCTGCCTGGCAGCCCTGGCAGGAAGGAAGGGCCAACTTCTGAACCCAGTGGGGACTCCCACTCCCTGGATCTTCATTTCTGACTCCATATTTGTCTTTGACTCTGTGTCCAGAAGAGTCTTCCTGGGGACAGAGAATGCTTTTTTTCTCTTTTCAGCTCACTCACCTCATGTCCCTCCCCTCATCATTCACCAAGAAAATCTGTGAGAGTTTGCACGTGAGTCCTTCACATGCACCTTATTCCTCTTTTTAAATTTTCCTTCGTCTCTTCTTCTTCTTTTTTTTTATTTTTTTAAAATGTTTTTATTTATTTTTGAGACAGAGAGAGACCGAGCATGAGCAGGGGAGGGGCAGAGAGAGGGGGAGACACAGAATCTGAAGCGGGCTCCAGGCTCTGAGCTGTCAGCACAGAGCCGGACGCGGGGCTCGAACTCACGAAGTGTTGAGATCATGACCTGAGCTGAAGTCGGACGTTCAACCGACTGAGCCACCCAGGCGCCCCTCCTTCGTCTCTTCAAGTCCACCCACTGAGAGACCGAAGCAGAGAGAACAGCTGGGGGCTGTATGAAGGAAGAAAGTCAGAATTCACTGAGCACTTATTATGCCATGTGCTACGCTAGGTGCTCTCACGTAGCTTAGGTCCTCTATTCTCTTGTGGCCCCACATGCAGAATCATCATTGGGTAGATGAGGCTTAGCAACTGGGTCAGGTTGCACAGTTAGGACTGCTGGGGGAGCCCGGGATCAGGCAGATTTGGAACCCTGATGCCTGAAGGTCTGAAAGTCCTTTGGCTGTGATTCAGGTGCCTGAGAATGTGGCCCTTCCCAGGCTCTCTTGCTGGCTGCAACAGCCGGAAATCTCACCTGAACACTTAAGGAGTAGGACTTCCCCGGTGGAATTGCCAGAGTTGGAAATTCCCATGCCCTGAGGGAGAGGTAATTAGGTTCAGGCTCCAGTTTCCTGGAGGAGGGGCATTTGTGGCTTGGCTTTGTTCTAAGTAGGGTCTCCTGAGTCCCAGTAGTCTAAGGAGTGGGGACTGGGTTCAGGGATCTTTTTTTTTTTTTTTTTTAATTTTTATTCACATTTATTTTACGGGTTCTGGGATCTTAAGCCATGTAGAGAGAGAGAGAGAGAGAGAGAGAGAGAGAGGGGACTTCAGGGAGTGGCTCCCCACCCCCAAGGAGAAGCAGCCGCAGAATTAATGCCAACAAAGAGAGCATGTGTCTTTTCTAGGTACATTTTATTTCTCGCCACTGAACAGTAGGGCGGTTACAGACATAACTCCCCTGGGGAGCAGAGGTTCAGCGATGTAGCGACAGTCAGTCACCAAATCAGCATTAATTAGACAACTCGATCAGATAAATATTTTTAAAAATATATAAGCAAAAGGAGGCACAGAGGCCAGGAGGCCAGGAGGGAAGAGCCTAGAGTTCAGCTCCGTTTTCACAGAAAACATGTCCGAGTCAAGGCAGCCCCTTCATTTGGTCTCCCAGGACACCCCAACCTCCCAAATAAATATATTCATCAGTAAATAAATAAATAATAAATAAATAATAAATAATCACTAGTGCAAATATAAATAGAGGGAGCTGGCCCCATGAGGGAGGGGCTGGGCTTTCCATCTCAGGGAAGAGTCTGGAAACATCTGAAGAAAGGGGGGCCTGAAGTCCACTCATGTCAAGTTGTAGGTGAGATCTTCTTAAGGGATGTGCTGAAGTGTCTGGCCAGAAAGGTTCCCTGACCCCCGAATTCCAGGTGTCCCAGGTTGCATTGAGGGATCCAAACCTGAGATCTCCAGTGAATGCTGGAAGCCCCAGTTTGAATTCTTGCTGGTGGCCAATGCTCCAAAGTCCAGGTCCCTGGATCTTAGGTTTCTAAGTGTTGTTATTTAAAGTTCTAAGCTTGGGGCCCAGCCCTGAGCCCCTAATTCTCTTTCTAAGCCAGAAGGGGATGAGGGGGTCAGAAGGAGCAGATAACAAAGGAGTTGAGGTGGGCAAGGATGGATGTCTGGCCCCCTCACAGGGCAATGATTCCAAAGTAGACTTGCCCAGACTCGGCAAAGTCAAGATAGTCAGGCAGATTGATCTCAGCGCTGAGTCGATCACCCTTCTCCAGTTGGAAGACCCCTCCCAGGTAGACGGGCTCATACCAGGGCTTGGCCTCAGCCCCCTCTGGGGTCTCCCTCTGGCAAGGGCTCTTGATGGCAGAGAGGAGGTTGACCTTGGTCTGGTAGGAAACGGCAAAGCGGCTGATGGTGTGGGTGAGGAGCACATGTGTGGAAGGACATCCTTGGCCCGTGAAGAGGACCTGGGAGTAGATGAGGTACAGCCCGTCTGAGGGCACCTTCAGCTGGTTGTCTGTCAGCTCCACGCCATTGGCCAGGAGGGCATTGGCACGCCGGCTCAGCCACTGGAGTTGCCCTTCAGCTTCGGGGTTTGCTGGAGGGAAGGAGAGAAGGAGGGAGGGGTAAATCAGTGTGACCCTGTCAGTTCCACTCTCCACATCCTGGCCCTCAAGTTCTGCCCCCCCACCCCCACATCCGGTTCCTGTCCCCTCTGTCTGTCCTCCCATGTCTCATGTGGCCATGAGGTTCTGAGTGTCCCCCTCAAGGCCTGTGCTCTTCCTTCACTCTCTCCTTGAGCTCAGTGAGTCCTTCTCATATCATCTCCAAGGCCTGGGCTCAGCCTTCAGCCTGGGCTCAGCCCCCAAATCCTAGCCCTCTATGTCCCACCTGCTTCGCCATCCTCCAGCTACAGCCTCAGAAGTCTTACCTACTACATGGGCTACTGGCTTGTCACTCGGAGTTCGAGAAGATGATCCTGAGGAGGAAAGAGGAAAGAAAAAGGTGAGACGCCTACGCTTCCTGGAAAATATCCCACTTTGACTTCCATTCCTCCTCCCCTCAAACCCAAACTCTGAATTTCCCCCTCTGCTGCTATCCCAGGACTAACCCCCACCCTCACCCAAGCCCAGAACCAGGAGAGAAGCTTTGGAGACACTTACTGAGTGTCTGGGGCAGAGGGTTGATTAGTTGCAGGCCATGTGGGAGCTGTTGGGGAGAAGGAGGTTGTTTAGCATCAGAACAAGTTACCCCTAACCGAGAAACAGCTAGGTTGTTTATGCAGCTCATACTCTGGTTCTCTCTCTCCGTTCATCGATTGATTCATCCATCCATTCATTCATTCAACAGCACTTTCACTGTCTTCCACGTGACAGACATCTGTCTGTCTTTCCTTATCTCTTTCTTCACCTCTTTCCTTATCTCTCTCATATCGCCCACATCATTGTGTCTCGCATTTTTATTCCCATCTCTCAACCCACACCCCACATCTCTCCACACATCTCTCTCTCTCTCTCTCTGTCTCTCTGTCTGTCTGTCTGTTTATGTGTGTGCTCATTCATTCATTCAAGAAGTGCTTAGAGAGCACCTTTGGTGTGCTCCGTCCCTTCCCTCTTCATCGCTCTCCACATCTCTTTCTGCCTCCCCCGTCTTTCTCCACGTTTTCTCTCTCACCCATCCCCATCAGCACACCTCCTTCCCCCACCCCATTTCTTGCCCTCCTGCTCTCCCATTTCTCTCTGGGTAGGAGAATGAGCCAAGTCTGGTGTGGCACTCACCTCTTCCCTCTGGGGGCCGATCACTCCAAAGTGCAGCAGGCAGAAGAGTGTGGTGGCTCCTGCGACGAGGAGGAAGGAGAAGAGGCTGAGGCACAAGCACCTTCTGGAGCCCTGGGGGCCCCCTGCCTTCTTGGGGAGTGCCTCCTCGGCCAGCTCCACGTCCCGGATCATGCTTTCAGTGCTCATGGCGTTCTTCCCAGGGGGCTCAAGTCCAGCTGGGTGATGGTAGAGCCCTAAGGCAGTGTGTGTGAGAGGGAGAGAATCGCCTGGCTGCTTTCTGGGGGTGTGTCGTCTGAGATGTTATTTCCGGGGGGGTCTGGAGTGGCTTCTGTCTCTCTCCCGGCTGGTCCCCTGGTGTCTTCGCTGAGGAAGCTTCTGCTGACTGGGTGTGCAGACAGCTGCATTTATATACCCACAGGGCAAGAGGAGGGCGGGGAAAGCTCTCATTCAACCAGCGGAAAACTTCCTTGGTGGAGAAACCCATGAGCTCATCTGGAGGAAGCGGTAGTGGGCCCTACACCTTCTGTCTCGGTTTCTTCTCCATCGCGGGGGTGGGGGTTTGGAAAGTTGGGGACACCCAGGCATCAAGGATACTTCCTATCCGCCCCACTCGGATTCTGAGGGAGGCTTGGTGCGTACGTAGGACCCTGGAGGCTGGACCCCAGTTTCCCACTGCCCCCAATTCCTTCCATTTTTTTTTTTTTTTTTTTTCTTGAGGATCATGTCCATGGCCTGTTTCCCTCTGATTTCCAGACAGGACTTAGGTAGGTGTAGAGCTAGAAAGGGGAAGGACTTCAGAAAGCAGAGTCCTTGGTGGGGAGAAACCTGGCAGGGGGGAGTGGTTTAGGGGGGAAAGTTGTGTTGGGTCCTGAGACATGTGTTTGGGTCCCTGGGGGAAAAAGAAGCTTGAGAGAAGAGAGCTTGAGAGAAGGCTGGGGATGTGAATAGGGGTCTCTAAAAGGGCTGGGGAGGGGGCGGTAAATAGCAGGGACATGCCTGGGACAGCCCCAGTGGGAGTGAAAGCAACCCTGGGAATTCACGAACCCCAGGAGGGCAGGCCTTCTCCTTTCATTCTGACCAGGAACTCAGCAGTGATAGTTTCATTCTTGGCTTCCAAGGGAATCTGGAGCCCTGACTTTTTAAAAAAAAATTTTAATGTTTATTTTTGAGACAGAGACAGAGAGACAGAGTATGAATGGGGAGAGAGCAGAGAGAGAGAGACAGACAGAATCCGAAGCGGGCTCCAAGCTCTGAGCTGTTAGCACAGAACCTTATGAGGGGCTCGAACTCACGAACTGTGAGATCATGACCAGAGCTGAAGTTGGACGCTTAACTGACTGAGCCACCCAGGCGTCCCTGAAGCCCTGACTTTTGCATGAAGCCCCCATCCCTCAGAGCCCCTGTGTGGGGCCATGTATCCCAAAGAACTCCAACTCCCTCCAGATTTCTGGAGGTAGCCCTAGCCCTCAGAGCCCCTCTGTATCACCTTGTCCCCTAAAGTGTCCCCTGGGTGCCCCCCCCCGCCTTGGGGGCTCTCCCACTCCTCAGGGCCCTTGTACAGCCATGTCTTCCAGAGGATCCCCATGTCCACCCCCATGGTCCTGAACACCTTTGGTGTGATCACTTCTCCCTAGAGGCCTCCTGTAACCCCCTTTCCTCAGAGCCTCGACATGTGGCCGCATCTGCCAGTGGCCCCCCTGACCTCCACTCCTCCAGACCTTGGACCCCCATGTTTCCCTTTTCTTCCCAGCTTATCCTTTGATTTCCCTGCAGTATCTCTGGTTGCCTCACCTCTATGACTCTACCACATTCCCCCGAGCTCCTTAGGCCCCTTTATCTCCTTGTATGCCCACAGTTCCTGTCTCTTCGGGGGCCTCTGTCTTCCTTCTGTCCCTTAGAGACCTGGGAAATTCTCCCCTCCCAGACAGACAGACATAGACAGCATTTCAGAGAAAAGAGGTTTATTGGGCTTCATTGAAGGTGCAGATGTCTCCTCATGGGGTGTCTAGTCAAGCAGTGGCTGGATGTTAAGAGTTTCTTTCTGCCTTCTAGAGCTCCCCGGTGTCTCAGATTCACTTGTTTTCTCTCTCACTGGGTTATCCTTATGCTGATGTTCTCTGGTTCTTCATCTCTTGGGTGTATCTCTCTCTCTCTCTCTCTTCTGATGGCCCTCTATTATTCCCTTCCCTCCATCCTCCATAAATAAATAATTTAATTTTTTCCCTTTATAAATAATCCCCCCTCCCCTGCCTCCTGTCATCCACTCAAGCTCCTCCATGTGTCTGCTCCCTCCACGTGCAAGGCCAGGCCTTCCTTAGATGGGCAGGACAGATGAAGAGCTCTGGTGGGAATTTCTAGGCAGACTTGAAATCCTCAGCCTCACATTGGTGTAGTTCAGTTGGGTGTGGTCCCCCGGGCTGCCTAGAATTCCTTCTTTGGAAGCTCCAGGTAACATGAGCAGGGGAGACTTGAGACACGTGGAATGGTCGAAAGAGGTGTGGTGACACCCTTGAAGTCGTCAGCATGGAGGCAAAATGGGAGAAGGTCTTGAAACCAATTAGTTTTCTTTCTGGAGATTTCTACAGAGCAAACGCTCCGAAGAAGACACTACTGGGGCTGAGGAGTAGGTGGGAGATGCCATCTGTGTGAGTGGATAGCTGATCTCCCTGGGTGAGCAGGAACACAGCTCCCTGGTACACAGAGCGCACCCAAGGTCCCTGTGGCCCTGGGCACACGGATTTCTGAGCACTGAGGAGAGGCACGTGGAAGGGGTACTGGGAGGAGAAGAGCTGGACCTCATGGGCCAGGTAGAGAGGGGTCGGGGTGGCCTTGGGGAAGCAGCCTTCCCCAGAGAAGACCACCTGAGAGTAGACAAAGTAGAGGCCACTGGTGGGGACCAGGAGGGAATTGTTGCTCAAGGAGAAGCCATGGCGGAGGAAGGCACGATCTGTGTTTGCTCTCCAGCGCAGTGAGTTCTGGGTGCTGGGGTCTCCTAGGAAGAGCCATAGGGGATGGGGAGAGGTCAAGAAGCTGGGGGTCAGCAGTCTTAATCCCTGAGGAAGTAGGTGCTGGACTGGGTTCCTGGGGGGATGGTTGGGAGGACAGATGGGAGAGGGATGCCCCTGTTTTGGGAGGTGGAGAAAGTTGGGGGAGGGGTGCGGTAGATGCTTGGTTCCTTGAGGGGGTGTAGCAGGAGAGCTGGGGACAATGTGTCTGGAGGGCCAGATGGTGTTTACCAATAAGATGAGCAGCAGGTTTGAGGGTGCCTTGTGCGAAGTGCTTCTGAGGGTGCTGATAGGTAGTCCGGGCAGCTGAGGGTGAGATGCCAACACCAGGAAGCCCCTAGGGGAGAAGACGGACGAGGATGGCTCTAGGGCCCAAAGATGGGCTGGGCCACCCCTGCTGCCCCCGTTCTCCTGCTGCCTCACCTGGGCCTCAGGCGGCAGGGCCAGCAGCAGCCCCAGAAGGAGGAGGAGGAGGGGGGCGCTGCACACCCGCAGGAGGTAGAGCCTTCCAGGTGGTGTCATGGGGAGAACCTGCGGTGGGGAGAGAGACAATGAGTGGGGCGGGGCAAGGTGCAGATGACGGCCTCCTGCCTGCCCGCGGAGAGATAGCCATCCGAGAGACAGGGCAAAACGGATAAGAGAAGGGGACAAGATGCAGTCAGGGAAACCCCAAGGTGAGCAGGGGGAGACAGAAAGAGAAAGAGAGACACGGGAAGGGAACAGAGAGGACTCGTGGCAGAAACAGAGAAGGTGTGATAGAGACAGGGAGAAAATGACTGATGAAGAGTCGGAGGGAGGAGAAACCAAAACCAAACCCACCAAGGCCCAGCCTCAGGCAGGAGGTACAGGAGGGGGGCCGGGGCGCAGGCGGAGGGGCAGAGTGCCCAGGGGAGTCCACCCCCCGGCAGCCCAAGGAGACGGGGCGGGAGAGTCTCACCTGCTCTGTGGGGCCCCTGGGCCCGGACGCCTGGGTCCCTTTATAGAGGAAGCTGCAGTGGCAGCGTGGCAGGCGGCGGGCGGGTTCTAGGCCCCGGCTGGGCCCGGGGAAGCCCCCAGGGCTTAGAAGATGCTGCTGTTTCAGTCGAAGGCAGGAAAGGCTGAGGCCTAGGAGTGAACCGCAGGCTGGGGGCTCAGACGACTGAGTTCTGGGAAAGGGAGTGGGGTCAGGCGAACCGTGGGCTGGGAGGGGCAGGGAGCAGGGTCAGGCTTAGGAGTTCCAGGGAAGGGACGGACAGTCAATTCGGAGAGGAGGGGGGAGCAGCTGGGGCGTGGGCTGGAGGCCCGGTTCCCTGAAGAGCGATTATATATAACACCTCTGCACCCTTGGTTGATTACAGGCTACTCTCTGTGCCCATTTCCTCCTCTGATGCCCCCATCCTTGTCCCAAACAGCTCAACTCACACTTGTCCCAGTATGTGGACTTTCCTGGTCATCTGGCAGGTTTTATATCAAGAAGTTCCATGATCTACCCCCTTGCCTGGGACATTCTGGTTTATGCCTGCTGTCCTGGTGAAAATGTTCATGGATCTCCCTTTTGCTCTCAGAAGTGTCCTCGTTTGGAAGATAAATGTTATGGTTCCCCTTCTCAGAGATGTCGTCACGTACTCACGATGAGGTCTCCTCTCACTGCGGAGGGATGTCTTCTACCTTATCTCCACCGTAGGCAGCCCCCCCACAGATCAGATTTGTATAACCCCAAACAAACACACACTCCGGGATCAAGGAATGTAGCAACTTCTGAAGTTCTCTACAGGGAAGACTTTGGAGGGTGGTGAGGGGCTGGAGGGTGGTGAGCTAGGGTAAGGTGGGGACAACCACAGGACTTGTCTCGAAGCTGCATTTGCAGAACCAGTATTCTGTTTTAAAATTGTTAAAGATTTCCCCTTTTTAACTTGGGTGCAGTAAGGTGCACACCTCTTAAATTTACAGCCTGTTGAACATTTCCATCTGCTGATAGCCATGTAGCCACCATATTTTTCAGATCCCCAGAAGGTTGTCTCATGCCCCCTCCCAGGTGATACCCTCCAAAGATAACCAACCACTTTCTGGTCACCATTGATTAGTTGTTCCTGCTTTTGTATCGTATAAATGAAGTCACACAGAATGTACTGGTTTGGATTTAGCTTTTTTCACTCAACATGATGTTTGTGAGATTCATCCATGTGGTTGCATGTATCAGTAGTGGCTGGTTTGTTTCTCATTATGATGTCATGGTCTATTGTGTGAATATGCTCTAATTTATTTACTCATTCTTCTGTGGACGGACGTTTGGTTTGTTTCTAGTTGTTGGCTACTATGAAAGAGATTGATATGAACATTCTTTTGTTTTTATTATTTTTTTTTAATTTTTGTGAGAGAGAGAAAGTTCAAGCAGTGGAGGGGCAGAGAGAGAGAGGGGGAGAGAGGGAATCCCAAGCAGGGTCCTCACTGTTAGCGCAGAGCCCGACGCGAGGCTTGAACCCACGAACCGTGAGATCATGACCTGAGCTGAAGTCAGACGCTGAACCGACGGAGTCACCCAGGCACCCCTATATGAGCACTTTTATACATGAGCCAGTTTTCACTTAATTTGTAAGTATGAAAAGCAAGATTTCTAAAGATGATTTTAAAAAAGTTTAGGGGCGCCTGGGTGGCTCAGTCGGTTAAGCGTCCGACTTCAGCCCTGGTCACGATCTCGCGGTCCGTGAGTTCAAGCCCCGCATCGGGCTCTGGGCTGATGGCTCAGAGCCTGGAGCCTGCTTCCGATTCTGTGTCTCCCTCTCTCTCTGACCCTCCCCCGTTCATGCTCTGTCTCTCTCTGTCTCAAAAATAAATAAACGTTAAAAAAAAATTAAAAAAGTTTAAAAATGTTTATGTTTGTTTATTTTTGAGAGAGAGACAGAGCATGAGCAGGGGAGGGGCAGAGAGAGAGGGAGACATGGAACCTGAAGCAGGTTCCAGGCTCTGAGCTGTCAGCAGAGAGCCTGATGTGGGCTCGAACCCACAAACTGCAAGATCATGACCTGAACTGAAGTTGGACCCTTAACTGACTAAGCCACCCAGGCGCCCCCCTTATTATATTTTTTTAAGTTCATTTATTCTGAGAGAGAGACGAGGGAGGGGAAGAGAGAGAGGGAGAGAGAGAATCACAAGCAGGCTCTGCACCATCCACGCAGAGCCTGATGCAGGGCTTGAACCCACAAACTGAGATCATGATCTGAGCTGAAACCGAGAGTCGGATGCTTAACTGACTGAGTGACCCAGGCACCCCAACTATCATTATTTTTGTTGATGTTGTTATGCTTTCATTTTGAGGATTTTGAATGGCTAAAGCCCTCCCTCTGTGGCATTGGGCATATTGCTGTTCTCTGGCACAAAGTTTCTGAGTGGTCTGGGGTCCTGTGACAGGCACGTAAGTAACATTCAGGGTGTGTATGATTCATTTCTCCTGTTTTCCTCCCCTTTGCTTTTCATGCCTTCCAAACTCATCTATTATTTCTTTTCACTCTCCTTTTGCCTCTTTGCCTTTCTCTGGATTTCACAAACATTTCCTGAGTACCTTGCACAAGGCAATGAGGATGCAGACACAAAAGACAGTCCTCTGGCCTCCGGGAGCTCAAAGACCCGTGCAGAAGACAGGAAGGTTACCAGATCATTACAACAAAGTGTGTCGGTGGGCAGCCCACAGAAAAGCCATCAAACTTGGCCTGGGAGAGGGGTGTCAGGCATTAAGTGTTGAGGGAAAGAAGATGGCGAGGAGTATTCCAGATGGAGGGAACGGTATGTGCAAGGACTGGAGGTAAAAAAGTATGAAGTATGCCAAGAGGTGCAATTGGGTGCAAATAGAAGGAGCAGAGAAGAGGCTTGGGAGGTAAGCTGAGAATACATTCTGAAGGGTTTAAAACCAAGAAAAGAAGTTTTGTTTCTTTCTAATTATAATGGGGAGCCACCAACAATTTTTATTTTTTCTTTTTTAAGTGTTTTATTTTGTATTTATTTTTTTGCATTTATTTTGTATTTATTTTGTATTTTTGTATTTATTTTTGTATTTCTTTTGTATTTATTTTTTTAATGCTTTATTTTTTGGGCACCTGGGTGGCTCAGTCAGTTAAGCGTCTGACTTCGGCTCAGGTCATGATCTCATGGCTTGTGGGCTCGAACCTCGTGTTGGACCCTGTGCTAACAGCTGGGAGCCTGGAGCCTGCTTCCCATTCTGTGTCTCCCCCTTTCTGCCCCTCCCCTGCTCGCACTCTGTCTCTTTCTCTCTCAAAAATAAACAAAAAATAGGGGCACCTGGTGGCTCAGTCGGTTGAGCATCCAACTTCAGCTCAGGTCACGATCTCGTGGTCTGTGGGTTCGAGCCCTGCGTCTGGCTCTGTGCTGACAGCTTGGAGCCTGTTTTGGATTCTGTGTCTCCTTCTCTCTCTGCCCCTCCCCCATTCATGCTCTGTCTCTCCTTTCTCAAGAATAAATAAACGTTAAAAAAATTTTTACAAAAAATAATAATAAATATTTATTTTATTTTTATTTATTTATTTTTTTAAAATTTTTTTCAACGTTTATTTATTTTTGGGACAGAGAGAGACAGAGCATGAACGGGGGAGGGGCAGAGAGAGAGGGAGACACAGAATCGGAAACAGGCTCCAGGCTCCGAGCCATCAGCCCAGAGCCTGACGCGGGGCTCGAACTCCCGGACCGCGAGATCGTGACCTGGCTGAAGTCGGACGCTTAACCGACTGCGCCACCCAGGCGCCCCAATATTTATTTTATTTTTGAGAGAGAGAGAGAATGAGAGCAAGAGGGGGAGGGGCAGAGAGAGAGGGAGACAGAGGATCCAAAATGGAGCCACCGACATTTTTAAGTGAGACAGGGACTCACGCAGATTGGTACCTCAGAAAAATGAGTCTGGAAGCTGCATGAAGAATGGACTGGGGTATGGGAGTTAGGGGGCTGGAGGCAAAACCAGAAGTGGAGCCTTGTTAGGAGAGTTGTGCAATAACCTAGGAAGGAGATACAAGAGGCAGCAGCAGGAGGATGGAAAGGAGAGGTTTTTTTTTTTTTTTTTAATGTTTATTTTAGAGAGAGAGACAGACAGAGAGAGCGTGAGAGGGGAAGGGGAAGAGAGAGAGGGAGACATAGAATCTGAAGCAGGCTCCAGACCCTGAGCTGTCAGCACAGAGCCTGACGTGGGGCTCGAACTCATGAATGGTGAGATCATGACCTGAGTCGAAGTCGGATGCTCAACCGACTGAGCCACTCAGGCGCCCCAGGAGGAGAGTTTTTGAGGCAAAATCTGCAGGTCTTGGTGGCTGACCAGATGTGATGGAGGAAGAGAAGCCACAGATGCTCCTTTTAAATATCTTGTCAATATGTTGGCTGGTTCTTATTCTTTTAACCTATTCTCTCTTATGTCCCTGTTGGTTTCCTTTTCTCTGTGTCCTTTTTCCTCTGCGTTCCTTTTTCTTCTTGTCTCCTTCTGCCTCTCCGATGGTAGGAGCCAATGGACTAAGAGACCTCATTTATATTAAAATATAAAACAATGTTGCAATTAATGATGAGAAACTGAGATAGGGAGAAACAGGTCAGAGAGGAAGACTGGGGCATTGAGGGATAAAAAGGGGAAGGTGAGAAGGAGTGATGGGGAGACATGAGAGACAGAGAGGAAGGAAGGGCAAGAACTGGGCTGAGGCTCAGTGTCACGGGCATTTGTGATGTGCTGAAGGGCGCTCCTTGCGATGGGCCAATCTTGGTTTCAATCTCAGTTTCGGAGGTTGTGTGAAATTCGGTTTCTTTCTTGGGGAGGCCAGCAGTTGGTTTGGGGCTTTCCCTGGGTGGGAGGGGTGATGACTAGAGTCTTATGCCCCAAACTCAGGGAAATACAGTCTCTACAGTGGGCTCTGTGGAGAAACTAGTGAAATCTCTGAGGCCTCCAAATGAAGCTGAAATGACGTTAGCTTCAAACTTGGACTTAGCCTAACCACCTAAGTTGAGATTTAATAAGTTTGACCGTAACTCAAATTTAACCTCAACCCAAATTGCAACCCAAACTCAACCCTAACCTCAAATCTAAACACATCCCAGTAAATGAACCTGAAAGTAAACTTAGCCTCTAAACTAATGTAACCTTGTTTCCTATAGCTAAATCTTGAAATCTACTCATCTCCATACCTGACCCTATAGTTAAACCTGACTCTAAAGGTGAGTCCAGTCGAAGCCACAGACCTGAAGTTGAGCTTTCTCCTGTTTCACCCCATTATTTATCCATCCCTCCATTTAAGAAATTTTCATTGGGGCCCCTGGGTGGCTCAGTTGGTTAAGCATCTGACTCTTGATTTTGGCTCAGGTCATGATCTCACGGTTTGTGAGTTCAAGCCCTGAGTTGGGCTCTGTGCTGCCAGCGTGGAGGCTGCTTGGGATTCTCTCTCTTCCTCTCTCTCTCTGCCCCTCCCCTGCTTGGTCTCTCTTTCTCAAAATAAATAAAGAAACTTTTAAAAAGTTTTCATTACGTGCTGGGCACTGTTCTAGGTAGTAGGAATATGGTGACAAACAAATCGGACATCCTAGCAAGGCAGAAAGGAAATAATACTGAAGAAGTCAGTAAGTAGTGCTATGAGGAAATAATACAGGGCATGTGATGAATGGCAGAGGACTACTTGAGACACAGTGGTCAGGAAAGTCCTAAGTAAGTGGCATTTAAGCTGAGACCCAAATTACAAGTAAAAGTGACCAGGTGAAGGTTTAGGGGAGAAGCATTCCAGGCAAAGGGAATAGCCTAT